ATACCAACTCGTTCTAATCAAATTTCATTTCAATTTTCCTTAACAATTTCAGAAAAACAATTTCCTTTAAAAATTCACTTCTCGGGCTCGGGACCTCGAAATTCGATTCCGGGCATACGCCCGAGTCCCATATTTTCCTACGGATCCTCCGGGACCGTCAAATGACGGGTTCGGGTCCGTTTTCCCAAAATGTTGACCGAAGTCAAATTTATTCATTTTAAACTCAAAACTTAGCATTTTTCACAGAATTTCATATTTAAGCTCTCCGGCTACGCGCCTGGACTGTGGACGCAAATCGAGGCAACTCTAAATGAGGTTTTCAAGGCCTCGGAAGAACAGAATGAATAAGAAAACAGGTGATGACCCTTTGGGTCGTCACATTTTCTCTCTCTCTTCTATATTATATTATTTTCTNATTGTACTTATTTCCATTTGTTCCCTTTGCTTCGGAACAGTGATGTAATCATATTATATAACTATACTTAGAAAGGCTTGTGACTTGTACTACCGGTTTTGGGAATTGTATTTTGTTCAGAGTAATTTAATTTAAAGTTAGTGAATACCCATATTACTACAGTAAATGTTAGGCTTACCTAGTTTAGAAACTAGGTGCCATCACGACTTCTTTGGAGGGATTTTTGGGTCGTGACAATACCAACTCGTTCTAATCAAATTTCATTTCAATTTTCCTTAACAATTTCAGAAAAACAATTTCCTTTAAAAATTCACTTCTCGGGCTCGGGACCTCGAAATTCGATTCCGGGCATACGCCCGAGTCCCATATTTTCCTACGGATCCTGCGGGACCGTCAAATGACGGGTTCGGGTCCGTTTTCCCAAAATGTTGACCGAAGTCAAATTTATTCATTTTAAACTCAAAACTTAGCATTTTTCACAGAATTTCATATTTAAGCTCTCCGGCTACGCGCCTGGACTGTGGACGCAAATCGAGGCAACTCTAAATGAGGTTTTCAAGGCCTCGGAAGAACAGAATGAATAAGAAAACAGGTGATGACCCTTTGGGTCGTCACATTTTCTCTCTCTCTTCTATATTATATTATTTTCTTTATAAAACAAATCCTTTCTTTTTTCTTTTTTACATATTTATCCCATATAATTCATATTTCTTTCTTATATAACCATTTAATATAAAATTATTTTACACCTTTAATTTTTATATTTCATTTTTGCACTTTTCATTTTTTTATGGTTATATATTTTTATACAATTATAACATAATAAAATTAAATTATAATTTTATATAAAAATAAAATATACAAAAATTAATTTATAAAAATTATACACCAAAATTAAAATATAAAATTAATATTATAAAGATATTATATAAAAACTATAATTAATTATAAAATTATAATATGTTAAATTAAAGTGTTATATAATAAAAGATAATATTAAAATAATGGTGAATAGTAATGGTGTTGATGAATAGTGTTACATCATACACTAAAATGGTGTAAGAAATGGTGTTGGGTTGGAGCAAAAAAATACCAAATCTTACACTAAAATGGTGTTTGGTGTCAAAATTGGTGTTGGGTTGGAGATGGTCTTAATGCAAGTATTAGTGGCTGTTTTCATGGCTCGAATCCGTGAACTATAGGCTACATGGAGATAACTTTACCATTGCTCCAAGGCTCCAACACAACNAAAAATACCAAATCTTACACTAAAATGGTGTTTGGTGTCAAAATTGGTGTTAGGTTGGAGATGGTCTTAATGCAAGTATTAGTGGATGTTTTCATGGCTCGAATCCGTGAACTATATGCTACATGGAGATAACTTTATCATTGCTCCAAGGCTCCAACACTTTTACATAGTGCAATGTTAGTTGCATTATTTTTCTTTTTCCGTTTTGCTACATAACCTTTCACCTACGTGATAAACAGTAATATCCACCAGAAGATACAAATGGCTTATTTTTTTAGATTACCTTTTGCTCAATTATGCTTCCTCCATAAATTCAAGAGCCCAGTACTTGCTCTATTTTTCTTTGTTTTTTCCCAGTTCTGCCTCTGATGAACCTTGATGTGTGGATAACGCAAAGATATGGTTTGGCCTTTTAGAATTAAATTAACTCAAATTGTGCAAACAACTGACCTTTCATGGTATAAATAATGTTTAATGTTAATCAACAGTTCAACACAAATCATTTTTAATTGTTAATTTCTTAGTCACGAGATTCATTAGTTTCCAACATTATGCAATCAATTTTAACCATTTTTTTCGTAGATTTTGAAAACAAAATCTTCAAATCCCAAAAATAGCTATAGAGTAATTTTTGAAATTTTCTACTCACAAAACTTCAAATTCTTTCAAGTAAAATGTATGTCCAAACACAATTTCTAACTTTCAAAAATCATTTTTCATCTCANTCATTTTTCATCTCTTCTTTAAAAACTTATTTTTTCAAGTTTCAACCATAACTATGTGCAAATGCTAACTTGGTTTCATCTAATATCACGCAATCAAAGTTTCAAACGACACCGTAAAGCAGTGAAGAAATTCGAGAATAATCATGCATCTCACCTCTAACACCGGCGTTATTAACCAAAGCATCAATTCGTCCAAAGGAGTCCCAAGCTTTCTGCACGGCGTCTTCAATGATCGGACCATTGGCGCTAACGTCAAGCTCTATTGCTACGGCTCGCACTTCCTGATTCAAACTTGACTCGTTCGAGTTTGAGCTGAATCCATTGATCTCATCGCAGAGAGATTTCAATCGATCAACACGGCGAGCAGCGGCGATGATTCTACAACCAGATCTGGACAAATCGAGGCAGAATTCTCGGCCGATTCCCGATGATGCGCCGGTGATCATCACCACTTTACCGGTGAGTTCTCGCCATGGCTCCAGCTGGCTAGCCACTTTAGCATGATTCTCCATTAATTTTTTTGGTTTGTTGTTACGGAAATACTAGTGAATAGTACCTTTGATATACAGAGAATGTAGGTTACAACTTACAGTCAATCAATATAGTCGGGCCTTTGGAGTTCTTTTATTCTTATTTAAAGATTTTTATTTGACTCATTGTATGTGATAATGACATAGCTGATGTGACAAAAGTCAATGATATTTAACAGAATCTAGTGTAAATGAAAAGATACGGCGATAATACACAATATTATTTTTATGATATGTAGGTAAAATTGATTAACTTTTTAATCAGGGATAATAGATAGTTACCTCATTGGGTTGTCCCACTTTACCAACTACAACGACCCCTTAACAACTTTGAACTTATATCATTACCCCTTTCGGGCCCACAAAACATGGAGAGTGTATATCATTTGCTTAAAGAGAGTGAGGGGATTAAAAAGAAAATTTAAAATTTAATTTTTTTCATATCTTCTAATATTAAAAGGAGAATAGTTTGCAATGTGATTAAACCAAGTGGCAAGTTAAAATGAAGTCACTTGCCAATTTTAAAACAACATAAAAAATTTGGATTATAAATGGAAAAATATTTAATGAAAGTAGTAGTTCAAGATTTTCTGTAAATTGAAAATTATACACAAAATTTAATTACACTAGAAAGAAAAAAAAATAAACTTTCTTAAGCATCAATTCGGCTAACAAAATCTGTAGGTGTCCTTTTTTTTTAGAAAGAATCATTAAAATTTCGTTTGGTATATTACACGTTAATTTTAAGTTGAAATATTAATTTTATATTTAGTACACGCTTCGTATCTGACATTATTTGCGAATAATTTACATTAATACATATATCATATACATTACTATAAGTAATTTTAATTAAATTTTGTGTATAATTTAATTATGGTAGGAATTCTTTTTTAAGAAAGACTTAATTAAATACATATTTTGTATCTAAATAAATATTTTGTATCTTACATCTATATTATATTAAAGGAAATAGACTAAAAAAGATCATAAAATACTCAAATCCAAATATTTTAAGATTTAAACAAAAAATATTCTCTTTTGACAACCTGTTGGACGTAATACACAAAAATGAATGCATAGAATGTTCTCTTTTGAGAACCTGTTGGACGTAAAAGGAGAGTAGTTTGATTTAATTTGTGTCTAATTCAATTATGGTCGGTATTCTTTTTTGAGAAAGAATCAATTAAAATTTCGTTTTCAGAAAGTTATTTATAAGATAAGAAAACACTTAAATATTATATACATATATATATATATATATATACATATATATATATATATATAATATTATATTATCTTTATATTATATTAAAAGGAGAGTAGTATGTATTATGGTTAAGCCAAGTGGCAAGCTAAAATGAAGCCATTTGGCAATTGTATGACAACATTAATTATTAGAAATTATAAATGGAAACATAATTAAGGGAAGTAGTTTAATGAATCTTATACATATTCTAAATATATCTTAGACAAATCTAATCTCTCTCTCTCTCTCTCTTTATATATATATTGATCCACTCATAGATTTTCTTCTAAATTAGCTAGAAATATGGAGGTAAAAAATTAATTAAAAACTAAAATAGAAAAAAATAAAAAATATAGAAAGACATAAATTGAGATAGCCTATGACTATCTATACTTTGAAGTAAGTTAAAATATAAAATAAAACTTACTTAAGATATTAAAGATTTATTGACTTCAAAAATTACAAAAATTCAAGCAGTAAAATATGATCTTACATAAAGTATAAAATTATTTATAAGATAAGAAAAAACTTAAATAATATATATATATATATATATATATATATTATATTAAAAGGAGAGTAGTATGCACTGTGGTTAAGCCAAGTGGCAAGCTAAAATGAAGTCACTTGGCAATTGTAGGACAACATTAATTATTAAAAATTATAAATGGAAACATAATTAAGGGAAGTAGTTTAATGAATCTTATACATAATCTAAATATATCTTAGACAAATCTAATCTCTCTCTCTTTATATATATATATATATATATATTGATCCACTCATAGATTTTCTTCTAAATTAGCTAGAAATATGGAGGTAAAAAATTAATTAAAAACTAAAATAGAAAAAAATAAAAAATATAGAAAGACGTAAATTGAGATAACCTATGACTATTTATACTTTGAAGTAAGTTAAAATATAAAATAAAACTTACTTAAGATATTAAAAATTTATTGACTTCAAAAATTACAAAAATTCAAGCAGTAAAATATGATCTTACATAAAGTATAAAGTTATTTATAAGATAAGAAAAAACTTAAATATTATATATATATATATTAAAAGGAATGTAGTGAGGCATGACATTAAGCCAAGTGGCATATTGAGAAAATATCACTTAGAAATAGTACATGGAGAAATAATCTAAATAGAAATATTTCTACTTAGTATTTTAAGACATAATCTAAATAGATTTTAGACAAATTTAATAAGGATTAAAACAACTTAGATTTGATCAAATTTAATTTATGGTAGAAATCAATTAAAATTGACTCACATTCTTATACTAAATAAATTTTGATAGCTTTCCAAATATTATTATTAACTAACCACTTGATATGCTTTCTTTCATTTCATACTTTTATTATTTTTAGAAATAGTACATGGAGAAATAAAATGATAGTGAAAATATTATTATTAGATACAATGTATTCAAACAAATAAGAAATTAACTTTTATGATTAATAATAAAATGAGTGTGGTAAAAATAGATATTAAATTAAACAAGCTAATGAAAGCCACATAACAATGTAATAATATTATGTATTGAATAATAGAACAGCAAAAATAAGGAATAAATAGAGAGAAATTAATCAAAACTTTCATCATAAAGAAAAATGATAAAACTTATTTAAATTTGAGATGAGAAAGTTGTTATTTATCTATTATGATAAGAAAGATAATACTGTGGATAATACCACACAACTTATGTCTAACAAATAAAAAAAGAACTTAAAAATATTAAAAATAAATTAAAAATAGCATGAGAATATTTATGCTAAGAATTAGTTTAGAAAATAAAATAAAGTGAAATAAAATACTTAAAAATACTATTGATAAATTTTAAAAATTTAAGAATTCAAGCAATATTTTTAAAATAAAATAAATATTTATTTTTAGATTAAAAATTTTCTAAATTTATCTATATTATATTAAAGGATAGTAATGGATAATAATACTAAATAAAGTGGCAAATTAATTAAAAGCCATAAACTATGATAATACCATATATTTGATAACATAATAGCAAAAGTAAAAAAAAAATAATTAAAAACTAAATATTAGAAATGAAAGGAAAATACTATTTTGCTTAATATTAGAAAGTTCTTAAATTTATATTGAGAATGCTCAAACTATGGATATGACCACCAAAAATTAAAGTCTTACTAGATAAGAATTAAAATTTAAAAAATATAAAATAAATATCTAATATAAATAATTTTATTAACTAAAATTAAAAGTCAAATTTTGTATCTTGAAAGACTTTTTTATTGCATGTAATACATAAAATAAATATAAAAAAAACTTAATAGATTTGGAATATAATAATCAAGGAACTTATGTATTAATATTTTATACTAATCAAAGTTACAACTTAAAGTCAAATATGATATTATTTTGATTACAGGTAAAATATTAATTAAAAATTTCTTAGTAGGGAAGAGACTGTATAAAGAAAAAAAATAGATATAATGTGAGAATATATTAAATTAATTTAAAATAAAATAAATTAAATAATTGAATAATATTCCAAAATATTATTTATAGATTTAAATAGTAAAATAGTTTCGAGTAAGAGGATAAAAGCGTAAAATATATTAAATTTCAAGAACAAAAAAATAATATTTATCGATAATTATTAAAAGGATAATAAGCAAAATATTAAGTCAATTAGTAAGCCGAAAAAGTCACATGAAAGTATAATAATATTAAATAATAAATAATTTAATAATTATAAGCAAAGAACAAAAATAAATTGTGTAAAATTTAAAAGAATAAGACTTTCAATTAATATTTTAGACAAAAAAAATAAACAATACTGAGAATTTTATTAAAATAATGTAATTTAATATGTTTAAACGAGACAAATCACCCCATGACATAGTTAGTAATTTTTAATATTGATAACGAAACGAAATTCAAGTACTAAAATTAACCTATTGGATTAGATAAATATAGAAAAAGAAAGCAGGTTATCCAATATGAGATTTGCGAAATGGTTTCATGTCTTGCTTCTTAATTAATATCTAATGATTATCTATAAATTTTATCTGGAAGGTTTATATTTTAAAGTAATTTATACATAATTGAAATAATCCAAATCACAATCCGATATAATTTGTGTTCGCGTATCGCACAGGTACTAATACTAGTCTATATTATATTAAAAGGAGAATAGTGAAGCATAAGGTTAAGCCAAGTGGCAAACTAAAAAAGTCACTTGGCAATTTTAATACAACATTAAAATTTGAATTATAAATGGAAACATAATTAATGAAAGTAGTAGTTCAATAAGAATTATTTTTTAATTATGATACAAATCTCTATTAGTAGTATAATTTAGTTAACATATTTTTGTATAATTATGGTAGGGGCGAAATAAATTATGGTAGGGACGAATTTTAATTAATTGATCAAGCTTTGTAACTGGCCTTATTTTGGTACAATATACATTACTGTAGGTATCTTTAATTAAAATTTTGTGCATAATTCAGATATGGTAGGTATCCTTTTTTGAGAAAGAATCAATTAAATTTTCGCTTTGTATCTTACATATTAATTTAAAGTTGAAAGAGTAATTCTTTATTTAGTATAAACTTTGTATCTGACCTTATTTGTGAACAATATATATTACTATATGTATCTTTAATTAAACTTTGTGTATAATTCAATTATGGTCGGAAAAATAATTAAATAGTAATATATATA